GAAAATCAATACCAAAAACGTGTACAGCATCCTTAAATCGTGTCGTATATACGTTGTACCATTTTGTGTAATTGTTGAATTGTGCATTCGTTATACTGCATGATATGTTTTACATTGTGTAATATGTTCGCTATATCATATTGTTATATTGCATGATACAATAGTTATATCGTATTGTATATTAATTATATCATGTGACACAATATCATGTTAAGTTCTCGTACACAAAAAGTGGCTACTTTGCATAATAATTTCCTCGTTTAAGTCTGTTCCGTCTTATAGTTTTTTAGTCAAATTTGATATACGTATTTGCACATACTAGGTAGCTAATTATTATATTAATTTTCGCATTCCTGTCTCAATTTTTTTTATCAAAGTTGATACGTGTGTATATTATGATGATGTTCAGACAATTATTTTCAGAGGCATGAATGTACATAATAATTGACCAATTTGCATATAAGCATATTTTTAAACATAGGTTGAGCGACAGGGAGTATCATGTGCGTATGTCAGGAATATGCGCTAGGATAATTGAGTGGTCGTTTCATGCAAGTATATTGTTATGCTAATACGCTGCTTGTGCTGAGTTGACAGTGTGCTACATTGGTCATTTGGAGAGTCAAATTATCCGTGAAGCTGTTCTGGCGGCTCGTGAACTATTTGCCTTATACTATGTATTGATATACTGAGTATACTTATAGCAATATCAGAGCCACCTCATTTATGCTTTGTTAATAGAGTGAAATTCTGTATTTTCAAAAAGCAGCATTGAATAAACTTACACAGCATAGTTCATCGACACGTCCAACGTTTCCACTCGCCTGGCCTGTCGTCTGTTTCGTAAATCAATGTAAATCAATCACAACTAAAAACATTGAATTACTATTGTGATAGGGCTTTTAGTTATGTAAGGGATTAATTATGTTGGATGTTAATACTGTTGATGTTAAAAACTCGATTTACAGGGACGGATTGTTAAGAACATATTGTCACCGCCCACACCAACGTTTACTGTTTTTACATTGTCTTCGCAATAACCAGGTGTGGAGCACTCTTATCTACAAAGCAGAAACTATCGTTTTTTCGTTCTGTTTTCTCTGACTGTTCGCAACGTTTGATTAATTCTTTTCTCTTACATTAGAATGGGGAACATTCATATACGGGTAGTGGAACAATTGTGTAGTTTTAAGTTTTTTGCATGCTGAAGTGATAGTTTAAAATTTCAGTTACCGAAAAATGTCAAAACAGTTGCAATAACCCCTC